GGCGCCCGCCGCGCCGGGGACGCTCATTGCGCGGGAGGCCGGCGCTGCCCGAGCCGCGCCGCGCCGCTCCGCCCCGGCCGAGGATGTGACGTCACCGCTGCCGCCGACCGTTAGCGGCGACCGTTGGCGGCGGCCGTTACGGCCGTTGGCTGCGCGCGCGCGCTCTCCGCTCCGCTTCCCGCACCGTTGGCGTTTGCAGTGTCGCAGCTCGTGGTGTCGCTTTGGCGGCTGCAGGCGGTACCGGGCTTCGGCGAGGGCTCTGGCAGCAGTCCCAGCTGAGCGCGGCCCGAGTGTAAGGCACGCTCATGCTGCTAGCACAGGGAAAGGACGTTCAGCTTGGAGCATTTTCCCTCTCCTGCCCCAAACTGCGTTTAGGTTGGTCAAAGGTTTGATGTTTCGCCAGCTCTCAAATAGGCTGGGATGTGCCTGTGCTGGAGCTGGGCTCACGCTCAGTTCCAGCCAGGGAGAGGTTCCCCCCTGTGCTCTGAGTGGAGACACGAGCCTGATGGGGGGCACTTCCCCTGCTTGGCAGTTCTTACAGCAAAATCCCAGGTCCCTGGTTCGGGTACTTTGCAGTGCTTTGTTTTCTCAAGGGCTCTTCCTCTGCAGCTATTGCTTGTGCAGCTTATTGGTGCGACAGATTTAAGTGCCACTGTCGGCACTAAGGTCACTGAGGTCTGTCCTATTACATTTTTGAATATATATAGTTTGGTTAGAGCCTAGCTGATACCAGAAAAGGTGAATCTCCCTGCCTGCTTTGTCCTGCATAGCTGAGGACCATGAAGCATTTCTTCCTTCCATCCTCACAGCCATTCCCATAGTTGCAATTGCAGAGGAACAATCCTGAGTCTAGCAACATCTGCTGTTGTATTTAAAAGAGCCCCAGAAGGCTGCGTAAGAATCACTAGCTTTTATTCAAACATAGAATTCCAGTATTTAGTGGTGGCAAGTATCCTCCAAACATGCACCTTAAAACTAACTCGACTGTAGTTTACACACTCACAAGGAAAGTTTGAACTTAAACATGTTATTTTTGGGGGACTAGCTTATTTTTAATGTAGCCGCAGGCAGTGGGGCTGATGGGGAGTAAAGAGCTGTGGAATTTCCAATTCATATATGGACCAATTCCACATTTTCCTTCTACAGTGTGATACAGTGTAACTTTCACTTGCCTTGTGAGTTTTACGTATGGACTATGCTGGAAAAACAACAGCCTACTTCAACCATGACTGGTGCTGAAGGCACAGGTTATGAAAGGTGGATGGTTTGACTGAGAACAGCATTTTAGTTATGACTTTTTTTTTTTAAAGGAAAGTCACTAACCCTAAACACTTATCCTCTTTCACACTTTATTCCTTTCTTGAATTCGTTTCTGCTAGTTTTCCCCTCTGAGCAGCTTCATACTGTCTTGAATTGAGCAGCAAGATTGCTGGCCATCTAATCCTTGCCATTTCTAGTCTGAAAAAGAGGAGGGAAGGATGCTAAGGCCATATGCTTGGAAGCTGTTTTTAGTTCATGGAAGGAAAAGTCCTTTCTCATTACTCCAAGCCCAGGTGATGTAGGTCAACCAGCACTTGAGTGAGGACCTTACGGATTGCACCTGAACCTAACCCTCATCTTCATTCTGAAAGAGAAGAAAGGGAGGTGGTGGTAAAAAGAAGTGCTAATAAATGGCAAAACAGGGATGGACCAACTAGATTGCCTTTATTCTCTCTTCAAGGATATGTTGATGGTTGCTTTTTAATCTTCCCTGGGCAAGGAAAGAAGAAACCTGCAGCAAGCTGGGCCAGAGCTCCTGGGTGCACACAGTAGGAGTGGTAAGTAGGTAGGTCGTTTGGCTGCATTGATTGTTTTGTTTTATAAGTTGTGGTTATAGGAGATGAAGTAAAGAGAAACTCCCATCTTCTCAGAGTTAGATCAGAGGGGAGTGAAAGGAGTCTGGTTTGGGGAAATTGATAAGCCAAGCTAGTCATTTCATGAGGTGTAAATGAATTGTTCAGCTTTGCATGGAAACATTTTTTAGTTTGTCATTTGGCACTTAATTTTTCTGTTTTGATTAGATACGAAGCTCTATGGGTCTCCATTTCTTCTCTGTCTTTCAGCACCTAGTACACAGAGACCCACAGGTGTTTTAGACTTTTGCATGCTATATGTAGATGCCATATATGCCATCGTTTTGTTTCTCAAAACAAGAAAAACACATGAACGAATATACGTTCATACCTTTGTTCTGTAACCTGAGGTCTTTTGTCTTCAAGACAAAAAATCCTTGCTGAGAGATAAATGGAACAGAAACTTTTCTGTTCGTGTGTTGTGGAAAAGATGGCATAGTATTTGCACGATGTTCCTAGATCAAGGGTGCCACTTTGTCCTAGAGTGCTTTATTATATTTTTGAGTTCTGAATTTCTCTCAGGATTAAACTAACTAGGTTTTCTTTTTTGAGTGAAATAAAATTTTTACTTTATGGTGATAATAAATACGGCTATCTTAATTTGTAAAGAAACTGTCTAGATAAAGTATTCCCAGATATTTAGAATTCAGATGAAATATGAAAAAGAACTTAAACTCTATGGAAATGCAAATTGATTTAAAGCTAATGTGAATATTAGCACATTCTCACAAAGTGATTCAGTTCAGGTTGGTTTTTTTTTCCTGTTGAATATCATTTATGGCTTATATTTTCAGACTTCTATGCTTTAGAAATAGTAAAATCACTAAAAAATTCCTCTGTCTTTTTAATGATTAGTATCATCTTCAGAGCAATGTATGGCTCTGATCACTTCAGATTTTCAAATCAATTATTTTTAAGTATAGGAAAAAAACCAAAAATGCTTTTCTTAGATGGTCACGGAACTCTGCTAACACAAGCTTTTTTGCTATTTTCCCTCCAGTATGGACAACATGTCCCCTCAAAATGGAATTTAAGTGTATTATTGGTTACATGTGACTTTTTTACTGTTTAAAGTACCGTAGAACTTAAAGACAGTCTTAACATAAAGATTTCTTTTCAGAGTGATCATAAGAAAGGCAAGTGTATTCTTTATGGACTCTCATGGATGTTCTTAAAATTACATGCATACAGAAAATAAGTGAAACCTAGAGAACTAGGGATGCTTTATTTCCAGATTCTAGTGTGAATAGTAAAATCTAGTCAGTTATTTAATGAAAATTTGGTTTGGACGATAGATCTTAAAAATAAAGATGGTATAGTTGCTAATATTAACAATATATAATTTGTAAACACTAAAATATTCAGTTGCTGTTGTTTAAAATTGAACATTACCTCTTAAAATATAGAACTTGCAACCTGTCAAGTTACAGTTAAAACTGAGCTAAGTAGCTGATCATCTGGAAATTAGTTTCCCAGCTAACGTCTAGGAATCTGAATAATGTTTTAACATTAAATGTTTCTTCTAATTCTGAACAGAAAGTACTTTATAAATATATACTGCTCAGAATAGCAAATTCAGGGCTGTATGACATAAGATGACAATTATGAATGTATTTTAATAGTAATTTTTATTCTCCAAGCCTTTATATGTATGCTAATTTGACTGTGAAACTCAACTGTGACTCTTAACTGTGACTCTTATGAATATTTATTGACCTGCCATATTTCTGTGTAACAGCATAATGTGTCTTTGTGGGAAGTGAAGAGACCTGAGTATCCGCAACAATTGATCATGGGGGAGTTTTGGGTGTTCAGCATCCCACAGGATTGGCCCTCTAGATAATAAGAGTAGTAAGAAGGACTCGCTCATAAGAGTTCAATTGAAGTTCCAGCCTCTATCACAATCCTTTAAGGACACAAGTCTTTAAAGGAAGATTAGGTCACAAGTACAAACTCAGGTGCAAACATTCTGATGAATTTTCTGTGCCCTTCAATTCCTCATAACTGATAATCAGTGTATGTCATAGCTGTTTCCAGTGGAACAGCTTTTCTACACTGGAGAAAGAAAAGGTTGCATAGGACTTGCTGCAGAAACAAAAGAGCTTAAGAGGAGTGTATCTTCTGTAATAGAGCTGTCCATTGCTTTAATTTTAAATGTTTCAGTTTTAAAGAGCATATAACAGCATGGTGCTATTTGTGCTTCTGCTGCAGTGTTTGTGATTCCATGTCATGTGGCTGGAGAGTATGCTTGTTGCAAGCTGTAAATACATCCTATGTTGAGAGAATTTCTTGATAGCTGGTGTACACTTGATACTTTAGTTCTACGTGGTTGTTAGTATGTAGCAAAGCTGAAAAATGCTCATCCTTGCTGGCATGCCCTGATCTTTCTGTAGTGTTAGATTTTGAATACTGATGTAGGATTGTAGTTGTGAAAGGTAAGCATCAATAGTTTCTCTGAAACTAGTTTAAGTAGGGAGACAGCTTTTTAAAAATGAGCATTAGGAAGAGAAGGATGAGCAGTGCTTAAAATGAGTCTTAAAATAGGCGGTTGTTATGTCTAAAGGACGGCTTTTTTTAAAGCAACATGATGTGTGTTGGCAAGTATCAGTCTTTCTGACTGATACACAGATACACAGATATTGTCTGTTTATACAGTAACACAGTGAAGAAACCTCCAAATTGGCTCTGTGTAAATCTGGAGCAGTAGAGTTGTGCTTGCTAAGAGTTGCTCTGGGTAGACTTAATAGCATAGCAAATTCAGCTTTCCACAACATGCTATGTCATTTGATTCTGTCATTAGGATATAAAAATATAGCTGCTGTGTGGGCCAAGTGGTCCTTTTTTGTGGTAGTCATATTCCATTTGTTAGTATTATTCCAAGTGCAGAGTTGCTTCTGTATGTATTTTGGTTTTAGTCCTGTCCTCTTGCACAGCAGCAACGAAGGGACAACTGAAATGATTCTGTGCTTTCCATTTGTTCATGACTTTGTCTGTGACACTTGGTCAAAGTAAACATAGAAACTCTTATTTAGAAAAAAAATCATGGAGACTTTCCTGAGTTTTCTGTAGTAGTTTTCTGTCCCATTTCTAAATTCTAGAGAGAATAATTTCATTCAGAAGGAAAGGTTTCATCTTCCCTATACTGTAGTTCACATGCAAGTAATTTTGCTGTTATATTTGAAAGGTATCACTGGTGTATCTGAACAGTAAATCAGACCTATAGTGTTGGATATTCAGGAAGTGTAGATGCTACAAAAACATCATGTTTCATGACACACAGAGAATCTTTTACACCATTAGGACAGTAAAGCCATAGAACAGGTTTCCCAGATTGAGCACGCAGTCTCCATCCTTGGAGGTTTTCGGTACCAGATTGAAAACCTCAGACAAACCTATCCCAGCTAACATAGTCTGACTTCATAGCTGTCCTTGCTTTGAGGAAGTTTGACTACAGTTTGACTGCAGTCAAACCTTCTAGCCTGAATTACTTTGTAATCCTGGACCAAGGACACCACAGCTGTGAAAATGATGGTGATCTACACAACTGCCTTGGCTCTTTTACTGATTTGGGAACCTAGAGCCAGTGATGTTATCCCATTGCATTTTTGAGCAAAGCTAGGCACTATATTTCTCATTAGTGTGTATTTCAAAAATTTGGACCAATTTTATATATATTGTCATTTACAGGAGCAATTGTGTAGAAATTGTTCAGTTTTCTAATTTGTGGTTTTACTGCAAATTGAAAGGAAAAAATGTATGGGGTTTTGGTAAACTTCCCCCATTTTCAGCAATAGCCTTTGTAAAAACAATGTCAAGATTCTTTACATTAAAAAGAAAAAGTCCGTCTTCTTTCCTGGCCTGGCAGGTGACAGGAACTTCAGTTTATAGAGTTCTACTGCTTTTTTATTGTAAGCTGGGGAAACAGAGGGCTGTCAGTACAGTATGAGCAGATACCCAGACGGTTAACACACATGCAGCCATCTGCTGAATATGTTAGCAGGGTATTTGTATTCCTCTCTCTGAAAGAAAAGCTGTGTACAACCTTCAAGAAATATGCTAGCCATTGCCTCATCCATATCCTGTCTCATAAGCTAAGTAAACACTTTGCTCTAATTCTGTGAGAAAATTTGTAGTATCTTAGGTTTGCTAGACTTACACATTTAAGATCAGAAAGGACTTTCTTAAAGATTCTACTGAAGCTTTGGCTTTGAGCCTGTAGATGGCTGGAACGAGGTTATGCTCAACAAAACCTGTAGAGTTATATGAACGTTCACACGGTACAGACATGAAGAGTTCATATTTTATGTGCTTGAAGTTGCTATGACGTATTGGTTAGCAAAGGAATTAATTTCTCAGTGTCTTTAAGAACAATCATGCTGGAAGCTTCTGTGTGCTAATGTTTCAAACCAACCTTGTGCAGAGGAGGCACAGTCACAGCAGGTAGAAGTTAATTGTATAATTATATCACTTCATGTCTAATATACAGCAGTGTTGGAAGAAAGCCAACATAGAAAACCACTTAAAAAAACACTAAAACCACTTGTAATCCAAGGCTTCAGTGTTGGAAATGCAAAAAGAATGCTGTGATCAAGCAGCTGTTCAGTAGGACTGGCATGCTTTGGTTTTGGCCGGTTTTTGAATATTGCCAAAGTGTGGTGTAATTGTAATTTGCACCTTAAATAAGAGCTATGAAAAGTTTTGATCAGACTAGAGCTGTTTAACGTAAGGCTCCCTTCCACGCCTATGTATTAAGAACTTCTGTGCCATAGAATATAATGTTTTTCCCAACTAATTGATTTTTGGAGTTAAAATACAGTATGAACCTTGGTGAAGTCTCTGTAATAGTTAAAAGCAAACTTTCATGTACGAACTTTGACAGGATTTAGAGAAGACAGCACATATATTTGTGTTCCTGCCTTAAGTCAGGTATATT